GAGAGAGAGAGAGAGAGAGAGAGAGAGAGAGAGAGACAGAGAGGGAGAGAGTGAGAGAGAGAGAAACAATGCTTAAGGAGGATATTTCTCCTGTTCCTTAGCAGGAGTTTAACAGCCCAGACAAAAAGCAAACTCTAGCTATGAGGACCCAGGAATCTGAGTGATGCCTGTCACCACCCCCCTTGAATGCCCTCCAGCCAGGGCAGCTGCATCTGCCCTTTGCAGAAAAGCAATCTAAAGCAAGCATAGAAGAAAGCTGGAAGGAAAATAACTGCAACTCACATCGATGACCTATTTTCTGAATCCGGCTTAAGTGAGATTGAATTTTCATTCCTTCAAAAAAAAAATAAAAAAATAGCAGAACACTGCAGGACCAGAAAAATGGTGACTTTAAGGAGCGCAGTGACCAGAACGCATGACACATTGTCACGAAAGGACTTTCTTCTCCACCCAGGTTCCAGGGGGTGCTAGTCTCAGATGACCAATGTGGGAGGGACTGATAAATCCACCAAATCCTTGGCAGCTTTGCTTCACTTTTAGCCAAGATTAACATGATGCTAATTGGTAGTGAGGGAACCTAATCTAGTTAGTGAGTCCTATCAGCACAGGCAGCACAGTCCAAGCCATCCTCATAGGTCCCATGTGCATGTCATTTCACAGTTCCAATTTTGCATTCTTCCAACTAGAGGTTGCAATGGCCCTTTGTTTCTGATGCAGCGCTATCAAAATGAATCTTTTTTTTTTTTTTCCTGAGCGGAGTGCTCCTTGATGGCATGTACTATGCTTGGGTTCACTTCTGAACTGAAGGTGCACCGGGGGAACACCTGGGCTTCTGATCTGAATCCCTGACAAAAGAAAAGCTGACTGTCCCACAGCTTCAGCAGACTCCCTAGGCTGTGTGCAGAGCACTGGAGTGTGAGGAGCAGGGAAAGCAAGGAACAGGAGGCAGGGTCTGCTTGTCTACAGGGAGCTTCCCTTCTGGCGGGTGACATGACTCATGGGCTCATGTGAGACAGCCGAAGACTATAACACAGCAACCAGGGCAGAACAATGCTGATTCACTACATCTGTGAATTCTGAAAAAGAATTGGTTCAACCCATGATCAAGACCTTAGTTGAAGAACTTCCTGGAACAGGTGAATCTAGATATGGTGTTGAAAAAAAAAAGTCAAAAAGTTGAAATCAAGAGCCAAGAAAGAGTATGCAAAAGATGCAGAAAATAAGAATGTCATTTAGAGAACAAAGATATTACCACTGCTGGTCAATAATGGCCTTTTGTGTTTCCATTTACTGTCTTTAAGAATCTTTTTCTTTTAATATTTGTTTTTTTTTAGTTTTAAGTAGACACAATATCTGTATTTTATTTTCATGTGGTGCTGAGGATCAAACCCAGTGCCTCATGCATGCTAGGTGAGCACTCTACCACTGAGCCACAACCCCTGCCCTATCTTTAAGACTCTTAAGAGGAAAAACACATCCCAGTATTCCCGACAATGTTTACATACAGCAGGTACAGTATATATCCTAGACTCTTAGAATTGGACTGAATTTATTGACCATCCTATTTGCTGAGTGAATAAATTAAAGAATAAATAAACAGGATATTAAAAAGATCAGTCTAGTTCCAGAAGGATCATAGACATGATCAAGAGACCATATTGCATCAGTACGCAAGAGTCAGTTGATGGTAGAGCTTTCAGGAAACCCCAAGGTGGAAATTTTATCTCAAAAGTGATAGGAAGCCACACCAGGAGTGGAGTGATGTTGGAAATTTTCTTTAAGAAAGATTGCTCTAGCAGTTTTTGCAGATGAGAACAGAACAGGAAAGCCAGTGGGATCCCACTTCAGCAAGGAGTTAAAGCCTGTACAATCTGGAAGGTCACTAACAGCCTGCTTAGGCTGTAGGGCAAAAATACCAGCTGCCCCAGCAGTGCTAGGCTGGCTAAATTGTCTTTACAGGGATTGGCCCTGGGCCCTTCCAGAGGATAGAGCCTCAGAAATTTATTCTACCTTCCTTTACCAACTTCCCACCTCTCTCCTCAACCTTGACAGTACTTATTAGCTCAAAGGGAAGAAAGGGACATGCTCCTGCAAAGGGCTAAGCATCTGATCTGCTCCCAATAAGCATTTCCATGTTAGAATGAAGTTAAAAATGCATTCTCAGGGTGACAGCAGCAGCAACAGCGTGACAGCCATTTGCATAATTCTTTTATGTAACAAGCTTCACAATAACAACAAGCAAATCTATAATTTTAAATTTGCTCAAGCTACTATCTTTAATGGAGCTAACTACCAAAGCACCATAAAGATTGCAAATTCATGAATCATGTCATATATTATTTGTTCTCTCTAATGAGACATTTTGGGGAAACAACACTGAATCTGTGTTACTGTAGAATTAAGTTATTCTGAAATGTTCACTTGTGCAGAGCAGTACACAAGGTATACAATAAGGTTGGAAAGCAACTTGTTTAGAATGATTATCTAAGAGTGGCAGAAAAAAGTGATAATTTATATCAATAACAAGACAAGCATTGCACAAGCACGTGCACAAGCGCGTGTGCACGCACACAGACACACACACACACACACACACACACACACACACACACAAGTCAGGAATGATTCAAGAACCCAGAAGCAAAATGATGTTGTCATAGATGTCCTTTGCAAGTATGGGGAACACAACATGGTCAACAATGTGAAGGCAGGACCAAACCTCTCAAGTCCACTATTATATACTCCACACCTAACAAGCATAGCATGTGACTATATAAGGCTGAAAGAAATAAATGGCTGGATAAGTGAATGAACGAATGAATGAATGTGATTTGTCCACATAACACAGGTAATTAATACACCTAAGAAATGTATGCAAAAGAGTCATTTCCCAAGAGCCTACATACCCACATATTGTATGCATAGGCACATACCTACACAATTAAAATAAAAATAGCTTCAGAAGGAAAGCATACATCCAAAAATGACTTTAATTTTCCATTCTTCATTATGCCAAAAGTCATAATTTCAAAACTAGTAAATCATTTTATAATATTTTTAGATAAATGACTATGGCTCAACTTTTTAGTGTTCTTTATCCGTTTATGTAGTACCAGACATCTAGTGGCTGAAAAATTGCAAAGGAAGGTAAGAAAGAGCTAACTTTTGGGTTTCTTTCCCTGAATAATTTTTCCAAAGAACATCCTATTACATTTTACTCTAAACAGATGCATTTTGAGTAGGACCAAATAATCCATTTTCTGCTCTATTTTTAATATCCACATTTTCATTTCATGGGTTTTAGCCTTCAATTTCAAACGACACTCTAAGTCCAATGAGAACTTAACAAGTCATCAGCTGGGACTTTTTTATTAAAAAAAATCTTAATGGTAGGAGGAGGACCTCTGGATTAATTATCTGTTCCAAATAGAGTTACCATGAGAAACAAAGCAAGCAATGTATCCAGTATGAGATTTTTCAAATGTGTGAATCTTCATTCACCTGTTTTATGGTATGCACATGCATGCACAGGGTGATAGGCACACAGAGAAAGAATGGCTGAAGGGTGAGAGACAGACCAAGGCCTGTGGTTTTTCGGGGGTCACGTTTCCTAGGGTTTGTTCCTGTACATTTATACTCCCCTCTACATAAAGGATGTGTATCTTCCATCATCTTGAATGCCATAAAACTATTGCAATATTCCCACGTTATTTCCCTGATTATTTTGGATGAGGCCTTATTGAGATAGTTTTGGAACTAGTATTTTTAAACTAATTCTTCTAACACACCCTCTCATCAAAACACATTGTGATTCAGTCTGTCAACATTCAGTGGTGCCTACAGTGTGGCAGCTCCTAGTGACAAAGTGGACTCTTTGTCCCCATGGGGTCTATGACATGAGTGTTACAGAAGACACAAGCAAGGTGCTATGGGAGCCCAGGACAAACAGGTTATGTAGCCTCCATTGTGGTTCTCCAATTTGGCTGCACATTGGAACCACCTGGGAAGATTTTAAAATACTGGGTCCCATCCCTGGAGAAGTCCAATTTAATTGGTCTGGAGTATAGTTCTGCGGCCTATAGTTTTAAAGCTTCCAGATAAGCAAGAATGAGAAGCATTGCTGTAGGGCAGTGGTCCTCAAACCTGAGCATCCATCAGACTCCCCTGGAGGGCTTGTGCAACACAGATTGCTGGGGCCTGCACCCAGGGTTTCTGACATCAGTTGAAGTTAGGGCCCTGGAAGGTTTTTTTTTCCTAGGAAGTTACCAGGTGATGCAAGACCACACTTTAAGAAGCAGTGCTCCAGGGGTCAGATGAGGATAGGGAGGGGGCGAGTCCTCCTGGCAACAGGAAGCACCATGTGAAAGCCCAGAAACAGCACAAGCCCAAGACATGTTCTGAGAGATCTGTGGCTGGACCTGTCCTGTCCTGCCAGCTCTGGTTTTAACTAAGGAAGAAATTACTCCATAGAAGGCAAAAGAGGGGTCGGCCACAGGAGCATTGGCCCATCAATAGGCCAATTAACTCTCAGACTATTAAAAATCCAGGCTGGTTTATCATTGAAAAGTAATGACACCCCACTCAGAAGTGATATTTTATAGATTTAATGATACTCTTGCAAATTCTGTCTCATCGATTCCTATAGAAATCCTGGAACAGAAGAGCTGGCACTCCACCTTCGTTCCACCAACAAGGAGAAGAGATCAAATACTAGGGCCAGGCCTAGACCCCCACATTTGGTCTCTGCATCTGGTGATCTGCTTCAACCCCTTATCCTCCAACTGTCAATCCTACCCCGTAGAAAACCCTGTCCCTAGGAAATTGTCTGAGAGGCCAAGAGAGAAGTGAGGGAAAGCCAATTTCCCACACTGGTCATGGCATATACACCTGCCATGACATTTGTACACATGTCACCTGCAAATGTGCCAGAGAATCCTGCCTGTTGGAGGACTATTTGACTTTCAAAAATATTCAACCAGAATATAAAGTTGTTTGGAATAAAACTGTTTTTTGTCATATTCTAGATGACTGTCTTAAACACAGAACCTGAAATTCAGGTAGCAACTGTGAAGGGGCAAATAATGTTCAGAACTGGCTCCATCTTAAACAAAAAAGCAGGCAGGCTTTCCTCATCTATGGATAACTGACAGACCAAAGCCATGTAATAAACAACTCAAATTTATTTCTTTTTATTTTCTTCTTTCTTTTTTTTCCCCCTTTGCCAAGATTACTCTTCAGAAAGTATTATCTACTATTTTAAATTTTTTTTTTTTGTTTATTGAGCTAGGGTCTCACTATGTTGCCCAGGCTGACTTCAAACTCCTGGGCTCCAGCAGTCCTCCTACCCAATCTTCCCAGATAGGTAGCTGGGATCACGGGCACACACACCTTTGCATAGTTCTTTGCATTCTTTTAAATTCAAGAATGTGTTGTTTCCTCTTAAAGTAGTACATT